CTGTCTCTAGTAGAACTACGGCGAGTGATTTATTATCGGAAAACAAATTCATCAAATAATTCATCAATCAAAATAACCGTCATTTTAGTTTTTTAGGATTCCGTAGTCCTGACAAGGAACCCTTATAGTTTCGTCATGTCCGTCTGTCTGTCTGTCCATCCAAGGTTTTGATTGGAGACTGTTAACATTAGGTGTAATTTTGTGGAGATATATATGTATATCAATCACACCGACAGAGTCTAGAGTTAAATTTTGAAAAAAAAAAGGTTATAGCTCCCCTACATCCACTACGTGGGGATGAATTTTTTGTCATCGTCTACCTCATCGTGTAGGGTATCGTTGAACCCGTGTAAGGTATCGTTAGTTCCTTTAAAATGACTTGAGGGAAAAGGGATGGGGTTATGACATATAAGACATTTTTTTTAATTTCGATCCGTTTGCGAAATGTTAAAGTTAAAAGTGTTAATTTTTGTTCGACTAGGTTAACTAAAAGTTTTTAGTTAACCTTTAAAGAATCTACCTCTATCTTTACCTTAAAAAAATCTGGAAAAAATCATGATAGTGAAGATAGTGCTTCTTTATGTGAGTTACTTATAGGTTCAACTTTTGTATTAAAAAATTCTTACCTAAAAATTCCATAGAAGGTGACGTTAAAAGTGACTTGGATTGCTTGTATTAGACATGTGTAAAATCTTGAATTAGAAAATGAAATCTAAAATAAAACTATTTGAATAACCACAAACATAAACTCTTAACACTTGGCCGGCTTTTTAGGGTTCCGTATCCAAATGGCAAAAAACAGAACCCTTATAGATTCGTCATGTCCGTCCGTCTGTCCGTCCGTATGTCACAGCCAATTTATTCCGAAACTATAAGAACTATACTGTTGAAACTTGGTAAGTAGATGTATTCTGTGAACCGCATTAAGATTTTCACACAAATAGAAAAAAATCAATAAAGGACCCCGAAGAAACAATTTATCGCGACATTAAAATGCTGCCTCCGACTGTGATCCGCCATCGTCAGGATGGCCACGAAATTTACGTATTTTTGTAAAACCTTGCATTGCAACAAAATCTAAAACAAAACTTTTTTAAAACAACAATAAAATATCATTAGTTCCACAACGCTACCGCGAGTAATAACGGCAACGGCTTATGAGTCGCGCTAACGTTACATTTTTATAAAAAGTAATAAGCACTTGAAAAGATCGGTGGCCTTCTTCTTCTGTAAACTTCTGGCCATAAGCATGCACTTCGGGAGTGTTTTAGGCAGTACGAATCTAAAAAAATCTTGCCGGCTATAGAGTATCCATGAGGATTTCACACACGCGGGGGAGCGTTCCTGGGAGGAAACAAAAAGCGGCGGTTATCATTAATATAAAAAAAAACCGGCCAAGTGCGAGTCGGACTCGCGCACCGAGGGTTCCGTACAAACCTCTAGGTATATTTTAATAATTATTAAAAAAAAAATATTATAGGATGTAACTAAGAATTTACGGTTTTCGCAATTTTTCCTTTATCTGTACTATAAGACGTTACTTCGTACCAAATTTCAAGATTCTAAGTTCACGGGAAGTACCCTGTAGGTTTTGATTCCCGTGCGAGTTTCGAAAATTTGCGACATAAACGGCTGTATCTTTTGATTGTTTTGGCTTAGAAGTTTGATTTTTTCGCAGCTCCAAGGGACAGTACTCCTGAGTATTATATATGAATTTCAGTTTGATACCTCTACGTGTTCCTGAGAAAAACGGTCTTGACAGACGGACGGACGGACAGACGGACAACAAAGTGATCCTATAAGGGTTCCGTTTTTTCCTTTTTAGGTACGGAACCCTAAAAACTAACTGATTTTGAATTTGAGACGCACTTTGACTTTGATTTAGGTATTTTAGTTGAGATATTATATAGATTGATATGTTTTTTCTAATTTCCGATATTGAAAATAAAGACTACCTATAAAGACTCCTTTAGCACAAATAGGTATATTGTGGTAACTATAGGCAACTACGGGACCCTACACTGCGCGTGGCACGACACGCTCTTGGCCGGTTTGTCTTAGACCGCCTGAGGGTAAGCGGCCATCATATTCAGAAATGAGTTTGAAGGATTTTTTGCCGCCCGTCCAGCAGACATTGCCCCATATTGCCCCCCCCCCCCCCCCCTAGCTACGTTAAAGCAACTGGCGACGTCCTTAAAAATGAATGAATGAAGTGACGATGCCACAGATAGACACACAGACACGTTAAACTTATAACACTCCTCTGTCTGCGTGGGTGTTAAAACTGAAACGGACGACACATCGGACAGATTTTGGGGATATGCAGTCCTAATAGATCTATAGCCACTGCGACCTAAAATAAAATATCTATTGTGATTGTGACTCGCGACCATATCTCTTTTAGTACCTATCTCCTTTAGCTCAACAGCAACTACTATGACTTACTTATATTAGCGTTATTTATAGACATGGCGAAAAAAACCAGATAAGGGCGAGACAGACTCACCCGCTGAGAGTTCCGTAGGAATTTGTAACTACGCAACATAAATGGCCGTATCTCTTTTAGAAGTTTGTTTTTCCATAGCTTCAAGTACCCGTAGACCGGAGTACCTAGTTCGTTTATCTCGCACAGTCTCAATACACACCATCACCTTGTGTATATAATACAGACAAAGTTTACAACGCGATATTTGATCATTGAACATGGATAGGGGCAAAGTCAGACTTTAGTTAGAAATAAACTCTGACTAGAGTGTGTTAGCTTACAATATTTTAGGGAAATCACCCTATGTATTGAAAGTCTATGAGTCTATAGTTGGCGAATTATTTCAAGTTCAATATTGCTTGCACTTCGACGCCGCAACGTGCTTACGCAGCTGCAGCAAAGCGGCCTGTCAATTCTGCTCCGAAACCACAGCGGCAGATACAGCAAACAGAGAAGAGTAGCAAACTCAAACGTGCTACTCCGGCGGCATCACAAAATCTGAATTGCAACGAATAATGCTTCATCAAGGTGAGGAGAAGGAAGTGGAAGCCTACTCGCCGCAATCTCTGCGGTGCTGCCCGACCGGATCGGGTCATCTGCTGCGTCCTGCCATACAAACGATGTCGCTGTACGTGTCCTGGCTGCGTTACTCTACGAATTCCGAGGAGTTCGTAGAGAACCTGCGAATCAAAACGAAGTTCTCCCTGAGAGTCGCACGGGTGGCAATCTTGCACGTCGCCGTCAATACGTGTTAATTATGTTTTACTAACATAGGTATTCAGTTTATTACTAACATTATAAATTTTTTTATATCCGTATATATGTTATACTTAATATATATTAAATCTATGGGCCTACGTTCTCTGATAATAAATGAATATAAATTGAAAAAAGCTTGGAGAGGTTGGAGTATTTATTACAACCCTACCCCTCAAGAAAACGATTGTAAAGCATTACTCCTAAACTACAAATAAATTACCAAGACGAAACAAGCAAGGATGCTAATAAAATATAAGTAAGTCAAGATTAACACCCGAATAACGGAACAAGCGAAATGAATAAGACCTTAATGGATATCCGGAAAAGACTTTTCAATCAAATAAATCACGAAGAGAGTTTAACGGGGATATTCCGAGCGTCGTTCGGCAATTAATCACTGTTCTCAGGTCATTAGGCGTCTAAGGAAGCCCTCGAGACGAAAGGGGAGAGCGGGTGTGGCCCGCAGCACCCGCCCACATTCGGATAATCCCTCCATTTACATAATTGCAGTATAAAAAAGAGAGCTTCCCAATTTGCTAAATTGCTTTAAACGATGGTTCGTCCGCTAGTGTCAGTGCCACCGTCTCAACGGACGTGTCACGAGCCTTTAATCGGCTTAAGACTGTCCTTCTGTGACGGTTCCCCTTATTTTTACTACTACTGAGTTTCTGTATCAGAAAATCTTGTGATGCAACTATGGCAAAGCCAACTTAAAGTATGGACATTGCTATGGATAATAGGGGTGACGACTGGGTAAAAGTAAACGAAATCTTATTTAGTCCGTCAGTAAGATTATCAAAAAAAAAATGACAGTGAAAATGTACGTATCTGTATATGTATTCTATCCTTTACTCTAGTATTACATACACAAGCCTACAGTGCTTACGTTGGGGCTAGGCTAATTGGTGTGAGTGTAGGAAATATTTATATTTAGTAGTCTGGAAATAGGTTCAATGAAAAAAAAATCTTAATAGATCCACCCTTTACATAAATCTGGTCAATAGATGTTCTGAGATTGAACACTTTCCACTATTTGTATCAAATATATTTTAAACTAGTGGGTGCCCGCGACTTCGTCTGCGTGGCTCAATTTATTTCCCATACAAACTTCCATCCCCCTTTTCACCTTGATGATGATTCCAGGGATAAAAACTATCCTTTGTTCTTTCCAGGGACTCAAACTATATCGATAGCAAATTTCTTCTAAATCGGTTCAGCGGTTAAAGCGTGAAGAGGTAACAGGCAGACAGAAAGACTACAATTTCACATTTATATTATTAGTTTAAGGTTAAAAGTTGAATTCTTATTCAACTTGGTTGATTTTATATTGCGTGCTTCGGAAGGCACGTTCGGCCGATGTTCCCGGGTGCATCTTTAGTTAGCACTCACCAATCCGCACTGGGCTCGCGTGGTGGGTCATGGCCCAATTTCCCTATTTCATCTATAGGGTAGGCCAGTGCACCAGCAGTGGGGACAATAGGCTGATGGAACGGTAAAATACTTTAATTTTTAATTTTATTTCAATTACGAATAGCATGAATTCATTCTTGCATATAACTTTGTGGAATAATCATACAAAATGGGGATATCTTTTAGAATTTGTTTTCTTGACGTTCAAAGCAATAAATATGCCTTGAAATTATTATTTTACCTAGGTAAAATAGTATGTATAACTAAAAAATTTTTAAACTAATAGGGCTGTGATTTTCTATAAAAAAAATAATTAATAATATGTTTTTATTTTACTTTCATACAGATATTATCGACAAATCCCCGAACGGTGGCGTCGGCGGCGGCAAGCAGAGGCGCTCGCGGACGAACTTCACGCTAGAACAACTGGGGGAGCTGGAACGACTGTTCGACGAGACACACTACCCTGACGCCTTCATGCGCGAGGAGCTCAGCCAGCGGCTGGGTCTCAGCGAGGCCAGAGTCCAGGTGGGTCACTAACTTCACGCTGGAAGGAACAGCTGGGTGACTTAAAGCGGCTGTTCCATGAGACACACTGCCCTGACTCAATCATGCGCGAGGAGCTCAGCCAGCGGCTGAATCTCAGCTCCCCTGCCTCATAAAGCTTTGGCGACTAAACAGGAACAGATTATTTACTGTATAGTAATGCTGCAAACACGAAAATGACACTATCGCCTGTTAATTAACAAATGGTAATCAATAGTAGATAGAAGTAATCGGATTTCGATAACAAAGTAGTATGAGGTTCGTGAAAGGAGATTGCTCAGCTTCCATACATGTTTGGCCTAAAGACCAATAATCATGAAAAATTGTTTCCTAGATTCGAAATTATATATAAATTACTGTAGATACGAATATTATTGAGAACTTCTATAAACCATATACACTGAATATATTAAAAGAATAAAAAACAAATAAGTTATAAAGTAAACTAGGGAAATCAACCCAAGTACCGAAATTATGGATTAGATTCAGGTATATAGAGCATGTAGATTAACAGATAGTTGCCTGTTTTTAAAGTTAATACATAAGAGTAACTTTTAAAATCAGGTGTCATCTATGCATTTGGGTGGTTCTACTCAGGAGGGACGAAAATGAAGTGATTTATGGCACAACATTTTTTTAGCATCTAAGGTCAGAAAAGTAGCTTGACGTCTAGCTTAGGTCGTTATTTTACTGATCTCAAACGGGCCAGTCAAAAAAATTAAATATACCAAATTTATGACCATTTAAAAAAAATATGGGCCCAGGAGACTGAGGCTATGAACAGGATACTGAGTATTGATACAAAAAAAACTCAAAACCGTTGTAAATATTGAAATAAAATTATGTTTTATTAATAAAAATAGTTTATTATAATACTGGCATAACAATAGTGTCTTCCATGGAACACTTTTATTGTAAGACCTTGACTCACAAGTAATCACAAAATGACACAAATTAGTATCCTTATTACAAAATTAGAGAATTTTAAAAATGAATCAAATAGTTTTTTTTTGTATTTTTTACACAACAAACATTGTCAAAGTTTGTAAAATAATTATTGAAAATTAAATCAACTTACATTTATTACAAAACCTTTAAGGTTACATCAGTCTTCAATAGTTTCATTATTTGTAACTTAACAGTAATCTCACTATTCATTAACATCAACTACAGAGTTAAAAACTCAAAAATCTAAAACTTAAAAGTACTACTTAATCAGTCTCATCATTATAAGATTAGGAACTTTGCATAAAATTATGAAAAATAACAAGTTTTCTAAACTACTACAAAATGGCAACATTCAAATCAAATTTTTAGTATTTAAGTAAACAAAAATCAATCCTTTTAAAAAGAAAAACATCTCAATCTTCAGTCTAAAGACAGTATTCTTTGTAGTCAGAGTCCGACGAGCAATCTGGACATGTAAATGAGATAGAGTCACTTTTGATGCAACCAATTTGTGCCCACTGACGACATAAAATACACTGGACCCAATCGTTTCCCGTGGTATCTTCACTATATAAAGTACCACAGATAAGGCAACAACAATCATCCGATTCTTTGTCATTTGCCCTCTTCGCTTTTCCAGCTTTCGATTTTTTTTTCTTGTCTTTTTCGGCTGTTTTGTTTGGTTTGTTTTTGAGTTTTTTCTTAGTTGTAATTTTCTTTATCTTATTTGTTTTATCAGCTTGTGAAGAGTCTTTGTCTGTATTTATTTTGCTTTTTTGTGTGCCCTTTTTTGATTCATCTAGGGAATCAACGAACTTTTTAGAATTTTCGGCTTTTGTTGGACTAGCAATGGTCTCATTTGGGAAGAGATCAGTAGGGTCAATTTCTAAGTCTGGCATATCGGCTAATATTTCCGGATTCTCCAAATTGAGAGAGAGATTACTCATAGTGCTTAGGTTATCTAATTCTGATATGCCAGACTGCACCCGACCTGATTCGGTAAAAGGTCTACGTCCCATAATGCTGGTAGTGGGACTATCAGCTTCAGTTCGTTCCGAGTCTAAATTTCCATAGACAGCATCGACCCTATTCCTTGATTCTGAGCTGTATTTTAGTAAACCCAGTCGGTAATGTTCACATCCGTTATTATCGCAGAAACAACTAAGAGACTTCATTATGAGCCTTTTAGGTAAATAAGCATTTCCTTGCACTTGGTGGACTTTTAATGTGCCAGTAAAAGGAATCAAACTTCGTTGATCTTCTGAAATCAATCGCGACATGTCATCTATATCACTATCATTAACAACAAACAGTGTTATATTGGGGCATCTGGTTTGAATAGCTCCACAAAACTCGTTGAGGTTAGTTATATTACCTCCATAGGCCACTATATTGTCTGCTGTTCTTTTACAAACCGCTCCAACACCGTCAGGTGCTCCTTTTCCATGACCTGCTTCGGTGTAATTCCAGGTCCAGTTTATGATTCCAGGGCACAAATCTGGAATTTTGCAGGCCAAAACGTAAAACATATATTTATTTCTGTATTGGGTGACAGGCCCATCACTTAAAAAGTGTATATTTTCAACTTTTTCTGGCAACTCTTCTAAAACCGGCTTAAGGTGGGCCCAGATGGCGTTCACGTTATGAGACAAGTTTGTAGACACTGTGCAGTATGATCTAGTCGACTCTTTTAAATATACAACAACTGTATGAAGCGAGAGTTGTGTCCGGGAGCCCCCAAAATGGAAAGACTGAATTTCTTCATTATATTTTGTGCAGTAATTTTCCGAAAAGTCCATGTGGACTACAACGTCCTTTTCAGTTAGAGATTGCTTTATCATTTTTAGTGATTGATACTGGTGAACAATATTCGATTCATGTTTGAAAAGTTTAACCAAATCGTTCTCCAGTTTAACTTTAAGGTCTCGAGCTGATGTTTCAATATTTTCTTTCTTTTGTTTGGTTACAGGTCGTTCTCTTTTTGTCTTAGGGTCCACAATCATTTCTTTTGAAGAAACCCACTGTTGGTAGGTAACCAGTTTTGTGTCGTCAAAGTCTTCGCTAAATGAAATGGCTTTATCAGAGCATAATTCACAAATTCTCTCTAAACACCTTTCATTATATCTGTCGCAGCATAAAGAAGTTAATAAACTTTGGTAGCTTGTGTCTTTCAGAAGTTTTGCAGTGTTTAGAGCACTGACAACTAATTGTATGTTGCTGTGTAGAGTACACATGCAAGTATCTCGGTCAATTACTTTTGGAGCCACTATCCAGAAAGGCCTCAACCTAGCAAACATTGAGTAACTGATGAGAACGTTGCCAGACTTTAAAAACTCTTTATGCAAGTTTCTGAGAGTATCGAGTTGATAGCGTTTCTGTTTTCTCACTTTATTTTTAGTGATGAATTCTTTTTTGCCGGCACACAATCTGCTGTATTGATCATCTTCTAGAAATTTTTGTACCTCATTCTTGAAGGTTTTTCTTGTTTTTTCGTTTAATTTGTTTTGTTTTTGTGAGTGCCACACCTTTTTGTACGTGATGAGTTTGTTTTTTAATTTCCAAATTTTACTTTTTTTAACTACACGTCCCATAAGCAATTTGTTTGCAACTCGTTTCTCACTCTTTGTGCTCAAGTTGGTAATGTTTTCTGATAATTGCTTTTCTAAAGTGTCACCAAACAAAGCTTTTTTAACAACTTCGACTCGTGTGTCTGGGTTTTCAGCTAATTTTTTCATCTTGGTACAAGGCGTTAGTTCCTGTGGGAGCTGTTCTTTTCGTTCTCTCTTCAGCCTGTGGTATCTTTTTCTATACTTCTGTAACTTGGTTTTTAGTGAACGTATAAAATCATTCTTTTTTTGAAGTTCTTGGTTACGCTTCTTACGCTGCCTCAACGCTCTTTTTCGTGCCTGTGCTAATCTAGGTGTCACATTTTGTGCATTTACGACTTGCTGCTGCTGATTTGAGTTTACATTTTCATCGCAACTAGATGGCGTGTTTTCTCTTACAAACTTTCTTGCCGCCTTTTCCAGAGCAGTTTTTTTATCATAATGAGTTTTGGAATAGTTTCTCCATTTTTTGCGGGCTTGACGTTTTTCACGATCCGACATATTTGATACTAATTTTCTTTGGCCCTTTTCTTTTCTAGTTAAATATTTTTGCCGACTTTTTTCTTTTTGAGCCGCTAATTTAGTAGGATCATTTTTAATTTTTTGATATCTAAGCCTTTCAGCTATCCTTTTTTTCTCTAATCTTTCTTCCTTAGTAATATTTTTTGGTTTTGCCATTTTGCCATTTTTCTGTAAAAGAATATAATGAAATGTATATACGGTTTTTTACATTGCCTACACATATTTTACATTTTCTATCTAAAAATGTACTTATTTAATTTCAGATGAAAATGTAGAAAAAAATATTGTTTTTAATCAATAAATAATGAAGTTTTATTATATATATAAATCGGAGTTTTTGCTTCAGGTAATTCCCAGCTTATTAATTTATGATAACTATGATCAATAATATGTAACTAATCAAATAATACGTAAATGTACTAATAATTAATATATCAATCATGATGAACTGGATTACTATTCGTGCGGATCCTTAATGACTCTCAGTCTCCTGATTCATCCTCAGTCTCCTGGCTATTATGTTTCCAGGAGACTGAGGACAGGATACTGAGATTATTTTATGTTTTTAGCCAATAACTACGTTAATGCAACATTAATATTGAAATTATGCAATTCTGTACTCTAATGTAACGAATTTACGACCTATGAATGCAAAAAAAGTATGCAGAAAACAATGGATTTTAAATAAATACGTACCAGGTTACTGTTAAGTTGACTGGCCGTAGCACAACCTCACTCACACAACTTGCCGTAGCGACTAAGCCAACTGCGAGCCAAGACGGACGCGAGTGGTTGTTAGCTAACTTCACTTCGATCTTTCATTCAGACCGGACAGCAACGCGCTAGACGCGGTAATTCAAACAGATTTTAACGTGTTTTGATGTAGCAGGAGACTGAGGTAAAAAC